TCACGCCGTCACGAGACGTTGACACCTTGCGTCCTCACACCTCCCAAAAAATGCGGGCAGAGGCGACGGGATGACAGGAACTAATGGTCGGAGCCCTTTCTCCTCCCCACCTTTTCCTCTCTCTGGTCCCCAATTAAGACTAGAATCTGACCCCTTTGATCCCTTTGCACATCTTCTTCCTTATCCCCCTAATTACTACTGATTGGTTGCCTAAACGCTCGTTAACTCTGCCCTCTCTTATATTTTTGTATTGCCTAATGATGAATTAACCGAAAACGTTTGTTCGCCTAACACAACTTCCTGAATTAATTTATGTGCTTGATATAGATCTGTTTATTCAAGATCTATTTTATGCATATTCATCGCAAGCGACAAATCAAGGAGCCCGTCGTTCAATTGTGTATTGTTGCACGTAATGACAAAGGTCTCGGGATAGGAATCCCGGGGGTATCCACACATGGGCTTAGGTACGACTGGCTGATGATGGCTAGTAAGCCAGAATTGGCCATTACGGTGTCCGTTGTCTTTGTCGATTCCACCTTATTAAGTATACCTGTGTTTTAATTATATCTTCTCCCTATGATAATGACTTATTCATAGTAATTTAAGGTGCTTTTCTATGACATCACTGCAGCGAGTAAAGTGAACCGGGAGGAAGCGTACCTGAGGTGTCAAAGATCGGCCTTCTTTTGTCCTCCATCGATGGCACTCTTCGACGTCGCATCGGAGACATTCCAAGGATTACCGCCCAGTCGTACGGGTGGAGGCGGCGGGGCTGAAGTACTCTCAGGAACGGTTTCACGCAGACTTGTTTCGTCGTTCGTCGATGAACCGGCTGCGGTTTCACTAGCCAGAGGAAACTGGGTTTTTGACAGAGAGACATCGAATATGGGTGCCAGTTCGTCCACACTTAAACCGGTCCGCACCCGCGTCAGGTCGGGGTCAGCTGAACTCTGAAGGGAGGAGGAGGGAAACGTGCCGGTACGGACAGTCTGAAGGAGAAAAACAGACTTAAAACTCGGTGGAATATATTACTTCTGCGGTAGTGTGGAGAGAAGGAAATACAAATTTACGGCATCAAAAAGATTTTATACCTCAGCGGGTTTGGATCAGTACTCACCTTTACAATGTAGATCATTTGTGCTAGTGGCTGGGTAACCAGAAAGACACTGTCAGTTTTGTGAAATCGGCGGTTATGTGCCGAAGGTAGAACTGCCATATGACGTACAAGTCAACATCCTAACTCCATCAGATTGTGCGGAACATAGTACATATCGTGGTTCGCGAAAGGCAAAATGGCAAAACTTGTTTTTGTCAAAGGTGACTGATTTGCCACAACTAAACTTACTCCCAACACATATTCCGTGATTGATTATTCATCAGCCCCGAGAAATTGATAGCGGTAAGGATTCATAGTGGGGTCGCGTAATGGTAAAATTAGTTGCGCTAATAGTTTTTTGGCTTAAAGGCATCTTTTGCTAACCCATACAGATTGCTTTTAAAGTTTTCCTGTTTTTTTTGTTGTCTTTTCGCATCCATTTAACCTACATTTTAGTTCAGTAAGACAATTACAAGCGGCTTTAGTTAAATATCCTCTTGTCAATCTATCGCGTATTAAATATGCATTAACTACTTCTTAATCGGGCATTAAACCTTTAATCACGATTTCCTTAAGGCACTTGGGCGGGAACACGCTTACCATAAGGTGGCCCTACGATGGATCCCTACCTTTATAGCTTTTATATTGCCTTTCATCGAGTAGTGTTTCGCTATCTATCACTTGTAGGTGCACTGTATACCCCGCAGACCAACTGACCGTATTTTGTAGGGGTCCATTTCTTGTCCGGATGCGCATATGTGATCATAATCTTACTGTGTAGCCGGTCTTTTCAATTTTCCAAATAACGGCCATCGTTTGAGCGAAAATAAAAGCTGGTTTATGCCGCTCTGTTGCCCTCTTTTCAGAGGATCCTGCCTCGTCGCATAGTAGGTCTTTGGGTTTTACTTGGTAATATTAATGCTAATTTAGAGCCAGTCATCGCTGTAGGTGCCCTGACACTTTGTCGATCCATTTTTGGTAAGGTAAACACATAAAGACTCCCTTATTGTCAGTTGTGGCGGTTTTAAATTGTTAATATTCATGTTTGAAGATTGCGTATACGGCAGAATTTAATGGAACCATAAGCTTCGCGAGTGCTCATCAGCTGCGTCCTCTCGCTGCATAAAGTTAGTAACGAATGACAAAATGCTACAATTGAATTCATACAGAAGAGGTCATAGAAACAGGTCAGGAAGGTCAATTAGTAAATTGGGCTAATTAGCGTAATTAGTAACGTAAGTAAGTGAAGCACTGTGGACAGTGAGATAGGGAAGAAAACGTTTAAACAAAGATGCGGGCAGGAGAGGTGTGAAACAGGGAGCCGGATGTTACCAGGGCAAAGTAAGGTTCACAACATGCTCCAGCCGTTTACATAGGTCGGGTTTTGACCGTCGTATAGAGGCTGTATGAGTTGTTAGTGCCCGAACAAGTACTCAGAAGGATGTTTTGGGGTCTACAGAATGGCCCGTATCCAATAGGTGTTCGATAATGGAGGCAGCCTCTATACGACGGTCAAAACCCGACTAATTACACTAATTAGCCTAATTTACTCACTGAACTTCCTGACCTGTTTCTATGATCTCTTCTGTATGAATTCAATTGTTGCATTTTGCTATTCGTTACTCACTTTATGCAGCGTGAGGACGCAGCTGATGAGCACTCGCGAAATTAATGGTTCCATTAAATCCGGCTGTATACGCAATCTTCCAATTTGCACTGGGGAAAAGATGCTTCAAATAGTCATGTTACTAACATTGCTACCAATTGCCAATAGAAAAGAATATGCGAGTTTCAGGAGACAGTTCAGAAGAAGAAGATGCGACCACTGGACTAAGAGTTTTATTTTCTTACCACTTCGGATTCCCTGGGGAATATAAAACGGCAGGAAAATAAAACTCTTAATCCAGTGGCACATATTCTTTTTCTGAACTGCTATTAATGTTAATTTAAAGGTTAATTTAGAGCCAGGTATTTCTGTGGACAACCTGACACTACTCCAAGCCCTTTTGGGTTAGGAACACACATGAAGACTACCTTATCGTCAGCTGTCGCGGAGAATCGAGCAGCCAACTCCAGAAAGCCGTCATCTTTGTCGCTTTTGGCCTGACCCATCAC